GAGAGAGAGAGAGAGAGAGAGAGAGAGAGAGAGAGAGAGAGAGAGAGCGTGCGAGAGAGATCTCAGTCAGATCGTGAATGCAGGCAGGCTAGAAGGAGATATGGATGAGAGCTGGAGTGTTGAATCATTAATAAAACAGGAGAAGCTGAGGAAAAGGGATGGTTAATAGGTCACAATGACATATTTCCCATGAGGCTGGTGTTGCCTGGCAGATAGCTCACCTGGTGAGTGGTCCCCTCAATCTCTACAGGCACTATGAAGTCAGCATTGTTGATTGGCTGGAAAGCAGAAGTTAATGGCGTCAGCATGGCAGTGGACAGGAAATACCTACCATCCTCCTGGAGACAGCCCGCTAAACAGTTCTTGGACAACACAGGGCAAGTAGCCCTATGGCATTCTGGTTTTCCCTCCTCATCTGTCCTACCTGTGGAATTCTACCAGAGATGAATTCCAGGGTTCTGACAGGGTCTTGCTACACAATCCAGGCTAGCCTCTAATTCACGGTCCCATCAAAGACTTGCACCATTTTATGTCTAGCTTTTTCAAGACAGGCTTTTACTGTGCAGCTCAGGGCATCCTAGAACTTGTGATCTTCCTGCCTCAGGTTCCCAAGAACTGGGATTGTGGAAGTGCCTCCGCACCCAATTTAAGGCTTTCTTGTGTTAAGAAATATACTGGTAAGAAAAACCAAAGTGTCAAAGCAGATTTAACTACTATTTCCATGCTAAGTGGAGACAGACACAGCATGTAGGTAGTGATTTATGATGGGTGTGTGTGTGCACGTGCGTGTGAAGGTTCCTAACACTCTTCAGTATGGCCTCTGGGTACCTGTGACTTCAGGGTGGCCTGGCTCCTTCCCTCCATTACTTTTGTCTTCACCTGCAGAGCACCTCCCAGCACCTGCTGTAGAGCTCACAGACAGGTCCTGAGGAAAGAGGGGCCATGTGCTGCCTTACCTTAAAGGAACTGTGCACAAGGGTCTCATCCAGGTCAATGACCACACAGATCCGTCCTTGATCTTGCTCTGTCACCTCTGGGAGCAGGCAGGTCCCAGGTATCTAAAATCAGAGCCAGGCTGCTGAGATGTGCCCACCAAGAAGCACACCCACTCCCACCTCAGCAGAAGGCTAGAAGAGTCAGGCTGTATGGAGACAGTCACCAACCCAGGAAGACCCTGCTTAATAAAGGCAGAGGAAGAGGCAGCAGGTCAGTGTTAGCCGTAGAAAGCTGAAAACAGTGGAACCTTTGAGTGCTGGTCAGGGCTGGTGTGGGAGAGATAGCAGAGACAAGAGGAGGGTATGTGCTTCTCTCATAGCTTTTCAGGGGTCCTCAGCAAATACTCAGCATAAATGGCTTCCCAGGGTACAGGTGATCACCCCACATGCCAGGCCAGCTAGGGCCTGGAGGGTCGGCCAGAAGGACATACCTGATAAAACTGGTACTGGAGACATTGCAACAGATCCGACTGTGGAGAGAAAGGAGGTGCTGAGTGCCAACCTGTCAGCTCCGCCTGCCCTAACCAAGCCATTGCTTCTGCCTCTCCAAGACCCAGTCACCTAGCAGCTCCTCACAGTGATAAAAGTGACCGTTTTCTGGGGAGCTGGGCAGAAACAAGGAAGGCCTCCTCTCCATAAAGTGAGCACAGACAGGACTTAGGGACTCAAATCTGAACTACTCTCTGTGGTTAACCTCTGCTTAGTCCTTTAAACCTGGCTTCTTGCTGATAATGGATGCTTCCTCTTGCCTCCTTGGGGCATGCATCATGTGTGTAGGTACTGAAATACTGAGCACACCAGCATAAAACACTACTGGGGTGCCCGAGAATATGAAGGGAGACTGAATACAGAGAGCACAAAGACAGCACTGCAAAGGTTACACAGTGTACCAAGTGTTCCTAATGCAAATCTTGGGGGAAAAAAAAAGCTAGATTCTGAAATTAGAAAAACCTAAGATTGTCATTTGGGCATGTTTCTTTCAAGGACAGCTTAGCATTTCTCTATAGTAATATATGATTTTACATTTTGATTTAACTGTGCAAATAAGTCTTTCTTTAACTTTATTATGTATTTTTATTTTTTTAGGTATGAGCACTCTGACTGCATTAAGCCTTTATGCCAGCAGAGGGCACAAGATCTCATTATAGATGGATATGAGTCACCATGTGGTTGCTGGGAATTGAACTCAGGACCTCTGGAAGAGTAGTAAGTGCTCTTAACCTCTGAGTCATCTCTCCAGCCCCAGATAAATATTTCTTAATCTTACTAAGAATGCTCCACAAAAATTACCTGCTTAGTAACACTGTGAGGCTGTATTTACTCAGCCATCCCCACTGGACAAAGGGCTTTCTGCAAGCTGCTCCTGTGTACAGCCTGGCTCTGTGAACACAGCTAGACATGGCTGTGTCATTGTCATCACTAGGGCTCAGAGGAGGTGTTTAGTCACTGAGGTAAAAACAGCCACACATTTCCAAGTGACTCATGGTGGCATAGCTGCAATCTGCTGCAGGGTTTGCTTGTTGGTTGCTGCTTTTGTTTTGAGAAAAAAATCTCACTATGTAGCTCAAGCTGGCCTGAAACTTGCTATGTTGATCAAGCTGGCTTTGAACTCGGATCCACCTAACTCTGCCTCCTGAGTGCTATCAGGGTTATTAAGAGCATGGGCCTTTTTTAACTCCTTGGTTCGTACAAAAAAATCCACTTGGAAGGCAGTTTTGAGTACTAGACAATAATAAACACAGGCTTCAGAGCCAGAGATTTGCGTTCCAATCCCATCACTATCAGTGGCTAATTTGGGTACACTTATTACATCCCTGGACCTGAGCTTTCATATCTGCAAGCGATCATTCAGGGGTCCTGGAATCTGCACCATTTCAACTGCCCACCCCAGAGATGGGAAGTATCAGAAGGAAGACAGGCAACTAAGGGAAGAGAGGAAGGGCCTTTAGACCAGGGATCCTCATGGCCCCAGACCAGGTCAGAATGCCCACCCCAGCCTGCTACCTTAGCGATGGTGTTTGTCTCCTCCTTGTATGTGAGCTCGGTTGAAGAGCTTGACTGGCCAACATGCTGGGTATGGAAACAGCAGAAAAGGGCCTTGAAGATGTTCCGGCCACGGGGCTTCTTAGGTGAAGACTTGGAGACTAGGCCTGAGAGAACAAGGAATGACAAAGGTCATTAGCTACAGGGATATTAGTTCCTGTCAGCAGCTACCAAATGCACATACACCCTGTAGTCTGGGCTCTGCTGGAGTAGTCTACACTGCTCACTGAAATGCCACATACTAACAACAAAATGTGTGTGCATTTCCTAGCATGCTCCCTTCAGTGAGGAAACAGTAGTGGTCTCCACTCTCTGGTCTGAGAATGGGAGACCTGGGCTGCACAGGGCTGATCTTCAAACTCTGGTGGGTCTCGAGAGGGTATCACAATGGGCTGGGTATTTCGTGTTCTATGGCAGTACACTACCATCCAAATGAACCTGTAAGGCCCCAAGTTCTCCTGACCCAGTCTCTAGGAAGACTCCCAGTTCTAGGAAAGAAATCAACCATGATTCAGCTCCACGATGGCTTCCCTAAAACCTGGATCAGTGGCAATAGAACTGAGCCTGAGTTGCCTAAAATCTCAGAAGTTCCTCACAATGGGCTGGTTGAGATGTCAGTGGGGAAACATACTTGCCACCTGAGCGCCACCATATGGTAGGAAAGAAGAACAACTCCTTCAAGTTGTTCTAATGCTGCTTGCCCGTGCGCACACGCACAAATTGAACAAACAAAATAATTCCCTCCCCAAGCCTCAGCTCCAAGACAGGAGGCATGTTAGTTTTTTTTCTCACGATTTCTATTTTTTTCCTAATACTTCACTGCCCACCCACTCTCCTCTCCTATTACAGGGAGTCTGTTGGAAAACAGATGGTTACGGCCCTAGGTCGTGCACATCCTGCAGCCTTCAGGTCTGCTTCTCAGACCAAAGCTGTTCTGCCCTACCTTGGCCACCTGAGCTTTGGAAATATAAAGTCACTTTAACAAAGTTTTCCAATGCAGTTCCTGAAAGACCAAACTGATACAAAGCAAAGATCATTACAGGCCCAGCAGCAATGGGCTTCAGATTGTCCTTTTCAAGTTGCTGGACTCCAGAAACTGTTCTGGTAACTGATATACAAGCAAGGAGCCGCTGCAAAGAGTATCGTGGCCAGGAGGTGGCACTGTAATCCAATTATGGAATGGTCCCCAGTCACAGCTTCCCTTCTGGGCGGCTGAGTGTCCCAGAGTGAAGCAGAGGACCAACTGTGCAGGCAAGTTAAGTGCCAGAAATGCCTCTGTGAGGGAAAGCAAAACAGAATGAACCCCCAGAGCTTCCCTATGTTATTAGGGGAGGCCACCTGTGGGCATCTCTTGATCCCTCAACATCAGAAGAGCCGACCACCCGATAGGGGATGTCGAGTTCTCTCCCCTTCTGGGTTATGGCCACTGGGGATCTCTCCAAAAGCAATTGAGCCGTCCCAGGAAACTGCCTGGAAATCTGGGCGTCACTTTAAAAACCATGAAGCTAGAGGACAGTTTTTTATGATTTCCTCCCACCTGTCTGTGGGTTCCAGGCTGTCAGGCCTGCAGGACAGTAAGCACTTTTACTCCTGGAACCACCTTGCTGGCCCCTTTGGCATCACTTCTAACCTCTTGGCTACAAATGAGGAACTAAGATTTCTTTGGGCATTTTGTCATAAAGTGTTTCTGCCAAAGCAGTCTCAAAGACCAAATTCAAAGCTAGGCCCAGTACTTAACAGCAGAGGGATAAGAAGCTGTCTATCCCTTGGAAAGGAGCAGCCTTCAGACACTTCCTGGTCATCTCTGCAGAAACCAGAGGGAAGGGGCTGCTTCCCCGTCTGCCCGTGGGCCCACGTTGAACTCTACTTTCAGGGACTCAGGACAGAAGCTGACACAGAGCTCCAAGATCGAATCTGAGCCTTTCCCCTTGCTCCATGGTTTCTTCAGGCATAATCACAACTGAAGGCTTAACCCAGTACAGTCTTTCTTAAAAGGGCACACAACCCAGGCCTTTCCTAAAGAGAGGCCACATCAGGCATGTGCTCAATACCTTAGTGTAGTAACAGGCACTGTAAAGGCAAGGGTAAAACAGGCAGCTGGATGGGGTCACAAAGAGGCCCAATAGGCACCAGCTTCCCAGGCCTAAGAGAGACCTTGAACTCTGCAGGGGTGAGGGGCTTCTGCAAAGCCTGAAGTGACCAACAGCGGCTGCATTTCAAGAGATAACAAACACAAACACTGACCTTGAGGGCAGGCTCTCAGAGCAAACACCCCACACCCACAACTGTGTCGGGGGCTAGTCTACCGACCCTGTTCTCTTACAGGTCCTGTTGCACAGCATCCTTACGTTACAAACACTACCCTCGAGGGTCATCAAGGCTGAACTCAGCTTCCCCCAACATGGCTGCTTCCCCTCAGGGATAACAAAGGCTTTGCCTGTTATATTCCACAGCCTTTGGCCCCTGGCTGGCAGGTGTTTAATAATTTCACCAACTGTCTGACTATAGGGCCTCCAGCTAAGCCCTGGAGAAGCCTGCATTTTTCTGTCATTTCCCAGAACTGGGAACAGAAAAACCTTCACGTGAGAGAAAGGAGGTACTGAAGTAGCTGGGTGACTGTGGCTTTCTGGGCCACAGACAAGTTTACAGACCTGCGTTGAGACCCCTGCCATCACAGCCCCCGATTTGCAGGAGGGAAACTGAGACAGTTCATCAGTCTGTGGGGTGGGGGTGCCATACGGAGGTATGACGGCATAATCAGAATTTGAACCCAGAGCCACAACTCTCAGGCATTTCCCATCAGCCTCTGAAAGGGACACTGGTGCATGTCCATGCACTATTGCCAGGCTTGGGCAGAGCCTTTCAATAGCTCCTCATAGTCCACACTCTGTACTGCATCCCTGAGAGCCAAGAGCAGGCTAGTTCCCCGAACAGTTGTCATGGGGAGAACCAGTCCACCTCCCCCGAAGAGGAACAGGGGCAGGCACAAGAGTGATCAGGTATGAAGGGATTTTACAGTGCACAGTATCCCCGACAAGGAGGTAGTGTCCCTGGAAAGCTGCTCAGCCCCCTCCCCACCCGATCCTCTCTATGATCCTGCCTCTGATTAGTACCTGCTCTTTTTGCCCTAAATCTTGGGATGTCTGAAAAGGCCAGCAAAGGCACAATGGGAAGCCAGCCCTGAGCAGAAGAGACTAGAAGTCAGCACCTGCTTACCAGCCCTCCAACTCAAGACTGCTGGCTTCCTACTGAGGCAGCCTATAGAGAGAAGCAGCTAGGGAGGTGCCTCTCTATGGGGCTGTCTGGCTGGGGTCCAGGCTCTGCCAGCTACCGATTCAACCATGCACCCTTAGTTTCCTTGTCCATAAACCGGGTTAGTAGCAAGACCTCATTCAGGTTAGCCGAGACATACGATAAGGTCCTGGACAGCCTCTAAAACGGAGTAAAAGCAACACTTTTACTGGCAACAGCCTGGGCCTCGACTCCAGGCATCAACATGAATCGGAGTTGACATGAGTCTCATTCCAGAAGCCCAGCAACAGGGGATTAAGGGTTTCCTACCCACACCATATGGTTGAAGTTCAAGGTCAGACAAGGGAAGAGTGCCTGGGAGAAATCCCCCCACCTACTCCCCAATCCACCAAAGAACTCGTAAACTGTAGATGGTACTCTGACATGACAAGCATCACTTGCCGTGAACATTGCCCTCTCCCCGTGCACCCCCACAGCCTCAGTAAGAACTTCTGCCTGTAAGAAGCATGTGTTTGCACATATGTGTGCACATGTACAAATGAACCCTGGCCTTACCAGGATAACATTATTTTTAACCTTCTGAAGGTCAGGTCCAGCTACCATGGTTGCCAACAACACAGCTTTGGATCCTAGGAATACCTCACAGGAAATCCACACAGCCTTGGACTAGACAGAAAGCAACTCCTTGAGCTATGGGACTTTAACAAGACCGTTCCCGTACAAGGACGGTTCACTCCCCCCAACACCCCCAAAGGACCTCCCAGTTCCCATCCCCCATAGCAAAGGGCAGGGTTGACTCCCACTATAAAATGGCCTCTCTGAGTGGCCTCCCTCCCCTTTGCTATTGGAGGAAGAAGAGTATTTGGAGCATTTCCGGCCCTTCTTGGCCTGCTGCCTGGGCCCTGCAGCTAAGACACATCTGATTGGGGTTCCCTGTGGAGAGGAGTCCTCCCAGGTTGTCAGCAAGAGGCATCTGTGTCTTGGCTAAGGACTTGCTCCAAAGTGCCAGATATATAGAAGGGTCCCTTGGACCAGCAAGTAAGTGGGTAAGGAGACAAAAGAGGGTAAGAGATGCCGAGACAGCTCCACGGGCCCAGAAGACTGCAAACAGCGGGAAGGTACACCTCTTGATCCACAATGCCCAACCACAGATGTGTTCTTCTGCTAACAAGGTAGACAGGGCAAGAAGAAAATGTGAGTTTCACTGCATGGAGTTTGCGGCACAGGACTCGGCTCACACCGGCCAACGTGACCTACGTTGGACACTGGTGGTCCCCCATCCAACAGTGTCTTGGTTCCTCATCCCTGGGCAAGAGGTCGCTGCTCCTCTTTCTTTCCTGTGTATGTACCTGAGGCAGCCCAGGTAGTTCAAAAGCCTGCCTGGGCCTAGCGCTCTTAGGGCGGGGTCAGTCTGATGCTACCAAGCCTCACAGTCAAGTCACCCTCAGACCTCTCGGGGTCTCTGATCTCAATTTCAGGGACCTTCCCTCAGGAAGATCTTAGTTTTGGGAACAAGGATTCCCAGGCACCTTGATTTCAGAAGGTGCCTCCAATTGAATTATTGGCAAGAAATATAGGCAGCTTCAATATTAAAAAAAAAAAAGTTTAAAGGTGTGCTGGGGGGGGGGGGGGCGCAAAATAGCAGGTTCTGGGCCAGCAGGGACAAATCTGAAATGCCATTCAAAAAATTGTCAAGAGCTAGGGCCTACCTTGCTGCACACTGTGCCAGCTAGAGCAGAGGGACACTGCCGGGTACTACATGGCAGTGGATGGCAGGCAGCTGCATTAGCTCTCCCATTCCTGAGGAGGACAACAGGCTCGCGGGGTGGGCTAAGAGAAACCTGACAAGCAGGACACAAACATTACCTTGGTGGCAGTT